TCTGAGCAAGATAAACTCAAAGCCTACTCGCTGACCCACAAACTCGCCATGTCCAGCTCCTCCCAGGAATGCAGCTACAAAGTACTCACTAGGTGGTACAGATGTCCACACCTTCTACATAAATTTTCCCCTACCATTCCTGATACCTGCTGGCGTTGCAACTCGGCAACGGGGACTATGCTGCATGTATGGTGGGACTGTGCCAAGTTAAGGCCCTTCTGGACCAAGGTGTTCGATACATATCACAAAGTGACGGCCACTGACCCGCCGCGCACGCCTCAGGCTGCGCTCCTTTCCATTCTTCCGGGATCCTTTAAATCCATAAAAAAGGACCTGCTACGATACTTCCTTACGGCCGCCAGGGTCCTCATCCCCAGACACTGGAACACTAATATAGCTCCCTCATTCAAAGAATGGGTTTTGGAACTGAATAGGATCATGCATATGGAAGAATTGACCGCCCAACTATATGACAGATATCCCCAATTCGCAGCGATATGGATGCCCTGGATCCTCCAGGCGGACACATGTTTAGAGTAACATCCCCAACGCCCCCGCTCCCTCCCTAGGGTGTGGAGCGCTCCTTCATCTACCCATTAGGACACGGTACCTCCCAGGCAGGCTTCCCCCCTACCCCACACCTCCCTCTACACCCTTACCTCTGCTCTCCCCATCCCCTCGCTTTCTCCTTTTTTCCCCTTTCCTCATTCATCTCTCCTCTTTCTCTTATTTTGGGTGCTCCTCACCGCTCTTACTGATCTCAGGGGCTCATCGCTTTACTGGACTCCTCATCCAAAACGCAGTTGCACAGTCACAAGTGATGTTCATAAACGCGCTCTGAAAACACCACAGTTAGGGAGCTATATACCTCTCAGGTTAATACCCTCCAACTGATCCGTGGATCCCTGAAGCGTGCATGCACATCACGCTACTCTACCGCGAATGAGGAGCCGGAGGGCTCATTCACCTACATGTGCCTCCTTCCCCCACTTTCTACACCCTCTACACGATGAGCCTCGGGGTATCTCCCTTTTGCACTGTAATGTTACTTATAGATTTTACTTGCATGGAAAAAAATTGCTCTTATTACATCTCTGTTTTATATTTTTGCTATGTAATACCTTGTCCCTGTAATGTACAATCACATGTAACCAAACAACTGATGACAAGTGTCTTCTTCTGTTCAATAAACTTGTAATCACTGCGGTTAAATTATATTACTGCTCTGCGGTTAAATTATATTACTGCTCTGCGGTTAAATTCTTATTCTACCGCCCAAGGGGTTAAATTACACTATCGCCCTGGGGTTTAAAATGTTAATACTACTGCCCTGGGGGTTAAAAAATATTATTATACTACTGCCCTTGGTGTTAAATTACACTACCGTCCTGGGGGTTAAAATTATTATACTACCGCCCTGTGGTTGAATTGGGTTACACTCCCCGCCTTAGGCTTAAATTACCTTACTGCCCTTTGGTTACACTACCACCCTTAAGTTTTAACCCTAACAATTCCCAATAGTACCTACCCCTTTCACGTGCTAGATTCCCCCCTCCCTTACTCCCCC